ATATACCTTCATTAGTGATCAACAAAAGGTTAGGTTCTAAACTCTCACCTTGAAATGTAACTGTTAGCCAATTGTTTTATTTTCACCATCATTATTACTTATTTATGGTTGCAGGGTTTGTTGCCAACTTTTGATGAATTACTTGGCAATGTTGACCAAAGATTTTGTGTTAGGTAATGTTTACTCTCACCTTAGTAACTTACATATTGAATATGACATACTTGGTTTAGTAACTTACATATTGAATATGACATACTTGGTTTAGTAACTTACATATTGAATATGACATACTTGGTAATGTTTACACTTACTTTATATTGCAGACATTTGTATAGTAACTTCAGGAAAAAGTTCCTTGGTCGGAAATTAAAGGAGTTGATGTGAAGGGTTGCATGTGCAAGTTATGTTAATGCTTGGGAGAAAATAATGCTTGAAATCAAAGGAGTTAATAAAGAGACCTTCAAACACCTCATCAAAATTCCACCAAGATTCTGGAGCAAATCAAGGTTCCAGCCAAGTTCGTGTTGTAACACTTTTGTTAACAATATGTTAGAGGCCTTCAATTCTGTATTTATGGCTGCTAGATCCAAGCCCATTGTGACAATGCTGGAAGAAATTAGAGTATATATAATGCATATATAGGAATCCAATAGGCAAAATATCACCAAATACGATGGCATCATACTACCTAACATCAAGAATATGATGGAAAGGGAGTCACAAAAGACCAATCATTAGATTGTGAGGTATCATTACTTTCAAATGGCTAACTGTTTACATTGACTATTATTGTTAATGGTTACTTGTTTACAGGCGTGCAGGTGAATATGACTATGAGTTCAGGCATACTTCACTCAATGGAGAAAAATATGTTGTCAACCTTTACAAGAAAGAATGCTCATGTAGACTATGGATGTTGACTGGACTTTCTTGTTGTCATGCAATGTCTTGCATGAAAGATCAACATTTGGAGATTGATGACTTTGTACATAACTGTTACAAGAAGAAACAATATGTTGTTTGTTATGCACATGTGATATATCCACTTAATGGGGAAGCCTTGTGGGGAAAGGTTTTGTTGTTGATCTTCAGCCACCACCAATAAAGAGGCGGCCTAGAAAGCCAAAGAAAAAAAGAAATAGGAAAGTTAGAGAGATGGTGAGGGATGAGACACACATGAAGAGGGTCAGACATGGTATAAAGTGTAGTCGTTGCCACAAGGGTAGTCACAACAAGGCCACTTGTAAACTACCACAACCACAAGCTAGTTCAAGTTAGGTACAAGATGCAACAAGTCAGCAGCCATCACAAGCTAATACAAGTCAATCACCACCTATTGCAACAAGTCAACCACCATCATAAGCTGTTACAAGTCAACCATCACCACCTGTTGCAACAAGTCAGCCACCACCATAATCTGTTACAAGTCAACCACCACCATCTGTTGTTACAAGTCAGCCACCACCATAATTTGTTACAAGTCAACCACCACCACTTGTTGTTACAAGTCAGCCACCACCCAAAACTAAGAAAAAATTTCATAAGGGTGGCAAGCTTGTTTCAAGCTAGCCATGATCAATATTATTATGTTTACTAGGATTTCGTAATTTCAATTAATGACCTGACTCTTTTGTTTTTGTTAATGACATTATAATGCCTGTTATGTATTGCCTTATAATTGCCTTTTAGTTTTGAACCTGTTATGTAATTTCTTACAATGGCCTTTTGGTATTTGAACATGTTATGTATTGCCTTATAATGGCCTTTTGGTTTTGAATCTGTTATATAATGCCTTACAATGGCCTTTTGGTATTTGAATGACCTTGTTTTATTAAACAATGTATTATCTTATAATGGCCTTGTTTTATTGAACCTATTGTGTATCTAATATTGAATTTGTTAATGAATGTTGGAATGGTTATTAAACTTGTTATGTATCAAACTTTGAAACATGTTTTGAACCTGTTATGTATCTAACATGCTATTGAACCTGTTATGTATCACACATTTTATTGAACCTATTATGAAATAAATATGTTATCGTTTGTTTCCACAAATATTGGTCATTGGGCTGCATATTTTACAGGTTGGATATTGAGACAATATTCAATGAACTTGTTATGTATCAAATATGTTTGAACAAGTTATATTACAACTTGTTTCCATAAATATTGGTCATTGGTTATGCATATTTTACAGGTTGGATATTGAGACATTATTCAATGAAAATGTGAAAACAGAACACAGACATTATTCATTGAAACAACATAACAGTACATTATTCATTAAACAAACTCATCAATTTGTTACAACATAACAGTACATTATTACAAAGATAAAAACATAACTTAAAACTACCCTAAAACTAATTGAGATACATTGTTACAAACACAAGGTTCAGCCCTAAGCTTAAAATCCCAACAACAATGGACATTTTGAGCCACCATCGAGTGTACATAACTTCATTCTTCAATTTGTTATCTTTTTCCTTTCACGCTTCAAATCTCTTTCATCAAGAAGCTTATCACCCAACCACTTGAAGAAATTACAACCCTTTTCAATGTGGTTTCTGTAATTTCTACAACCCCAGTATTTTTTTCCCTTGTTGACATTGTTCACATAATTCACTGTTCTAAGAACACTTTCATCTTAGTAAAAGCACTCGATCCTCTTGTTTCTACAAATCAAAGATCCAGATGTGTCATAACTATGGTTGTTTGAAGTTGAGACATTGTTTGCACTCTTTGACATTGCTTGAATCCTAGTTCTCAAATTGCAGAAGAAAATGGAAGATAGTAGAAGGAAATTGGAAGAAAGGGATTTAACCCTGAGTTGAAGATGAAGATGGAATAGGTTGAAATATGGAACACGGATGAAGAAGAATGGTGGAAGAAGAATGAAGCAGCAAGAGTGAAATATGAGACCCTATGTAAGGCAACATATACATATTCTGATGTGAAATTCTAAATTGACTTACTTAACATGCCACCTCACATAAACTAACGTTTTTTGATACAAACTAACGGAAGGAACCAAAGTGTTTAACAGAACTTAAATTAAAGGATCATTACATAACGTTTTTTAGTTCATAAACCATAGCAAAATTTCGCTCAAAATTAAAGAACTCAATGACTAATTATGCTTTTTAAAACATAACAAATGTAAGAATATGAGAGTTTCAACCTCATATTTAGAATAAAATTTGAACTTATAAAACACACACTCCCATAATGTAAAAAACTAGTTTGATGTAAGAGATGAGTTCGAGAGTATTCTTCTCAAAATAAACTACTTCTACTTTTACAAAAAGAAATTTTCAAAAAACTGAACCAATAAAGTAATTAGAAGTACCGTCTCATTAAACTCCTATGCAAAAATACATTTAATTGCGAAAACACTTTCAATAATGCAACATCTCAAATATTCAGATTAGTAAAAAAAATATAAAAATGCAATACTTACAAAATGATTAGAAATCAGTAAAAAGAATAATTAAAGAGATGATTGGTCTTTTATTTTACTTTAAAAATCATAATTAGATAATAGATAAAAATAAATTGAAAGTGAATTATTAGTAATTGTTACTCTTTGTTTAAAACTCAGTGGCCTTTAAGATTTTTATATACATACTAAAAAATATAAAAGAATTTACCAAATAATTTTCACCATCGTAAATATAAAATGAAATATATTTTAAGAATAATGTATATAGTATAAATTTGAAAACATAATAGAAAAAATTAATTCATATTTGAAAGTAAAAATGATACTGATTTTAAAACAATATTTTATTTATAAAGTGACATTTTTGAAAAGGAGGGAGTAGTGTAGGTTGCACATACTAGAAGAATTCTTTTTAAAATAACTAATTAATGACGATGAAATTGTTCAATTTGTAGCCGTGTTTAACTTTGCTGCTTGACTGGTCTCATCATCAAAGCCATGACATGAGTTGTCTTCTTTGAATTCCTTGTCATACAATGCAAGAACAAACACTTTCCATGTCTAGTTTACATTCCACAAAGCTGTGCTCTGATTGGTTGGTGTCTTGTGAGGTGTTCTTTACATAACAGGAGAATTGTGGAATTTTGCTCCGCTAATGAGGGAAAAGAAAGTACAAGTGGCTATATATCCTTGACCACTAAAATGGATAAACCAGGTGCAATTGGGTCCTTGATGCATCTTTGTCACTGTACATAACATTGTCAGCTAGTTCAAGTTTGAAGAGGAACACTAATATGCCCCAACAAGAAAACACTCAGCATATGCTCTAAAATAGCAACAGACCATGATATCTCCTTTCCAACTTTTCATCAGCATTATTGGATGTAATCAGGGTGCCATTCTTCCCCACAAAACATCATATCAAAAAGCAATGAAAAGCAAACCTAACTCTACTTTATATGTATATATACATATACTCAAGCTCACAAGTCATTTCCTACTTCACTATCAAGTGGAATATAAAAGGTTAAAATAAACAACTAATTCATATTCCAATAACCAAAGTGGATAAACATCAAGACTCCATCTTGAGGACACATCCTACTCAAAAAGTATAGATTTGTGAAATTGGGTAAGGATATATTGGCAGGCAGTTCAAATAAATGTGATTCGATTTCGATTTTGACAGTAGATGGAACGATTTAGTATTGTCAACCATATATTTAGATGGCTATTCCTAAGTTAGCCAAGAAAGGTTGGGACTTTGTAAGGAGAAAAGAGGAAAAAGGGTAAGAGATTATAGTGGGGAATCATGAGCTTGAAAGGGGGTTTAACAGTGAAGATGACATAAGCATTGTTCTCTACAGAACCAAGCATCACTGGGTGGGGTTACTGATTGGGATGACATAAAATAAACAACATCCCATCTAACTTCCATTACACTCAGATACATTTGTCTGTTAGCTTATTTCTTATTTGGAACTAACCTTAAAAGGGATTATAATAAGCCTTTTCTTATCTGCTCAACTTACCTTGAAAACCAGAACACATCTAGGATGATCGAGGGAGATGAAACAACTCTTACAGCAACAACCAAGGAACAACCAGGTGAAGTGATGGACAGAGATAAGAACAACGATGATGGAAGTGAGCATGACAACAACCCCAAAGAGTGGTTAAACCTGAGCCTAGGAGGCACTTCACTCTCAACAGCTGAAGACTCTGATTCACAATCAAGACCAGCCAAAGTTTTTTCTTGCAACTTTTGCATGAGAAAGTTCTTTAGTTCACAAGCATTAGGAGGTCATCAGAACGCTCACAAAAGAGAAAGAGGTGCAGCCAGAAGATATCAATCTCAGAGTCAGAGGACAGTGGCACTAATGAGCTTGTCAATGAGCAATCCAATGTTTCGATCACTTGGTGTCCAGGCTCATTCACTAGTGCATAAGCCATGTAGAGGAGGAACTATGGGGGCCCCAAGCTTTCAAGAAGCATGTGCAGCAGGGCTTGGAATGGCATGTACACCTTTCGCGTCTGAATATCATACTGATCAGCTGTGGCCAGGTAGCTTTCGTATGGTTTCACAACAGTCCCAGCCACCACAGGAATCACACAAGCTTGATTTAGATCTCAGACTCTGATAATTTGTTGGCTCCCCTTGAAATTTTATCCTTCTTTTCAGCCTGAAGAGCTTTTTCATTGATCTAAGCAGGACAAATACTCATCAAAAGAAATATAAGCAGGACACTTTACTCAGGTAGGAGACCCTTGATCTGGAAGAGTCAAATAACTTAGCAAATGATAGGAGATTTAGTGATTTACAGTTTCTACTATATGTACATGACTGCATGTTAAGCGATATAAAAACCAAATTATAACGCCTTAGCTATCTATAGTAGTTACTTAATGCTTGAAGTAATTCCTAATGCACAGTGCTCACGTCACATGTTACATTGTTACTAACCTAGGAAATGTGAGACTTTGCTTCCTAGCCTTAAAAGCTGACTTCCAAATAACATCATAGCTAACAAGGACGAACGCAAACACTTGATTATTTGGGATTTGGGTTCACAACAATAAATAATTCCTGTAGTCAACCGATTGGTAGAGATTGGATTTGACAAATCGGCAACTCAAAATCTCAACCACCCAATCTTCATAACTCAAAATCTCAAACATCCAAATCTATTATCCAGTATTTGAATGTTTGGTGTTTTCAAGAAGGCATGCGCTTCTATATAGGTAGAGAGCTTCAAATCTAAATTCCGCAAACTAAGATGGATTTCAATTGAAATTGATAAACACAGTTGAAACTTTGAAGCCTTGTAGGTAGACAGGAAAAGAAATAGATTTGTTACTGTACTCCAAAGTCAGTATGTTATTCCTATTCAAAATTTATGGGGCTTTCTCTATAATTATAGCTATGTTGAAAGTAAAAGTCAAGTAACCAATGTCAAATATGAATGGACACAAATATTATGTAAGCATATGAAGAGTATGAGACATTCATAATATGTTAAGCCTATACTACGATTTGTCATCCAATAGCAATATAATTGGGTGACAAGTGATATCTGCCAGAGACATTTCAGTTGCTTTAAAAGCATTTTTCCTGAATAAAATACACTAATAATACTGGAAAATGAGCCAAACTATTGGATGTGAAGTTTGTCAGTAAGCCAAACAAACCATCCTTAAATGATTAGCATGCGAGTGTCTGCTCAGTTCCACACATTACCTTCTCCACAAGTTTAAGCTCCCACATTTTGTTGAAGTACAAAACAAATGTTGCACGCATCTCAACCTTAGCTCATCCCAAAAGAAGCAAGTGATGATTTCAACAGTCTTGGTATAAGTTAGAATAAAATATAAACAAGATAACAGTTTATCAGAATCCCTGAAGGACATTTACAGCCTTATAACTTTAAGAGGAAAATACAAGCTTTTGGGTCGCACGCTTGACAATGGGGAGCTTTTGGCTGATGATGTTTGGATCACTATACGCTGCAGAATCAAAAGGGTGCCCTTTCTGCATCAATCAATCAGATAGTCAAGTACAATTTGAAATACAACATTAAATTGTAAATAATACACCTGCCAACGTAATGAAAGAGACTAAAACTAATATAATACGGGTCTATCAGAAACCACCGGGCATTCAGATAGCTGCAATTGCCACAAGGCTTGAACACCGACACTTTAGTATTGAACAGATTGCAAGGGAAAGGCTGAGCAATAATTGAGATTCCTCAATAATAGAGATTCCTCAGGAGAAAGGAAAAACTACTATGAAATGAGTATGGGTGTATTCACCCTTGCATTTAAATGGGTTAAGCGCATGATATATTTTGAATTGAATTAGTGGTATATACACACCCTTATAATAAGAGTAAAATTAAATATCATTTGGGCTCTGAGCTGATATCTCTTTTGTCAACTTTTCCAAACAAAATTGTTCTCGAGCACTTATAATTGTCATTTAATATAGCATATTTTCAACTTTAGCTTGGAGCATTCTGAGTTAGAGTAGTGGTGTTAAGTATCCTCGCTTATTTATTGATCAGTGCAACAGCAGCTTGCCTTTGATTTAGTAGCTCAAAAGGAGTGCTATATTTCATAATCAGCTAGCTGTTTAGGGCATTCTAATCTATTACTACACTCAGTTATCAATATCGGCGCTGTCCCGGGATAGCGGCCCGGAGCGGTGACCCTCCGCTATGGAGGAGCGATTCTCGTCTCAGTTTGAGATAGCGGCCACTATTTGATATTTAGCGAGTAACGGGAGTGGAGCGCTTCCCGGCCCGACCGGGTTTGAACTGTTCTGAACGCGAAAACCTAGATATACCCTTTAAATAAATAAATGTTGGAGAAGTTTTGCGGAATTTTTCCAATTTGCCTTAACTCTAAAACACAACAGAGGATTTGATCTTCTTCTCACACGCTTTCGCTTCAGCTTTCAGAGTTTTCTTCTCACGATCTTCTTCCCAGTGCCGCCTCGGTCTGCTTCGTTTCTCAGCGCCGCAGCCTCCGTGTACTACGTTTTTTAGCGTCGCTGCCTGCAAACCCCTCTTCTCAAGTTGGTTTTTATTTCTTTATTCTTCTTTTTTTTCTTTCTTCTTTTCTCTTCTTCGTCTTTATTTTCTCTTCTTTCTTCTTTCTTTTCTTTCTTATTTCTTTTCTTTGTTACTCTTTTTTTTTTAAGTATTCTTTTCTTGTTCTTTCTTATCTCTTCTTTATTCATATTGCCCTATGTTTTTTTTAAGTAATAGTCATTTAATAGTCAAATAGTGGTTATCCTGCTATCCGCTATCCCATTTTTTGGGGTCTGCCGCTCCGCTCTGTTATATGGGATTGATAACTCTGACTACACTAACAAGTTCTTGGCTATAAAAAATGAGAGGTTCCACAAATCCTTCTCTGAATCAACTTTCAAGTATTCAGAGATACATTCATCTTCATCAAGCAAATTGGAGAATAAATCGCCAAATCCTTGTAAAGCTTCATTTACCGTTGAGCTTGCAGATCGGGACGAGTATGTGATCTTCTTTGAGATCTGAGTTATTTTTATTGATGAGCAGAAATCCAATCATGCATTCTAAGATCATTCATGATGAGTATTCCTGTTTTATCATACTATTTTACATTATTCAAGGATAATTTTTATTATCTTTTTGCTTTTGATCCCTCAAGAACACCATAGGCAACACAAAAGTTGTTTATGTATAAGAATACATTTGTAAAAAATTATTTATAATTGGTTTGGACAGCTTTTTAGATCCTTTTGCTATTGATCCCTCTGAGCAGATTTTCATTTTCTTGGTTTGGACAGCTTTTTAATTGGTTGCATGTGAATGAACAAAACCGGTTTATATTGGATTAATCCGATTATGAAGTTGTTCTATTTTCTAAAACCAGTTGTTGAAAACGGTTACAAAATTCAATCCAATTTTTGGATTGTTATTTGGATATGGTTTGGATTCTACAAAATCTAAATCATGAACACCCCTAATACCAACATGATTTCAGCAAAGAAATGTTAGAGCTCGTCAACTTTATTTAAGGTATACATAATTCAATGAGAATCCCTGCAAAGAAAAAAGGTTCTCCCACAAGAGTAAGTTTTAACTATTTCATTTACCTATGATTGGTGTGTGTTATAAGAACGCCAGAAATAGAAGTAGATTCAATAGTTATAGTGCTAAACAGCTAAACCAAAAACTACCAAAGCATTCCTTCATGATCTTGAACAAAAAAAGAAGCATGGATAACAGTTTTTTCAAAACAACTCCTAAGGTAGACAAGGACACACCCACTTTCACTCTCTTTATAGAGGCCAACATCGGATGATAATTACATTCAGAATTCACGTAAGGAACATAGCATAGCAGGTGATGCAAAGCACAAACTTACCGCAGACAAAGCTTGAAAAGTAGATTCTCTCCAGCAGCACTCCCGAAGTACAACGGGATTTGTGCTTCCACCAAATACACAGTGCATACGAGTTTCCCTCAGTCGAATCAACACTCCATCAACTCTAAGCTGTAACAGTCCCAAATCAACCAGAAAAAAATTGCAAGTTTAGGGAAAGTGCAGTGAAGCAGGTAAATGTGTAGCTGACACAGTGACATTAATATCCAAGTCAGTCTAACGCATTATAGATCCTTAGAAATAACTTCAGTATCATATATTTTATTATTTATTATTTATGATAAACAATCACAAAATAAAAAATAAGAATAATAACAACGTAATAAGCAATCCGCTTTGCATAGCTTCACTTAAAAAACTTTATGAAGTTTAGTATATGAAGAGGGAGCTGCTCACCCAGAATTGCAAGAGAAGAAACCAAGAACTTGGCATGACTCTCTGTAAAACCAAAAAAGTGACATCATCAGTTATAGAAAATCATAGTAATTTGCATAACAAAAAATGAGCTCCCAATCAACAGAAGAAAACAAATCAGTGTTTACCACTTTTACAGTAAGAAGTGATACTCCATTATCAGCAAGTTCATCTTCATATAACACCACCTGTTCATGATGAGAATTCATTCTGATGAAATAGAAATACCATCAAGGAAGAAAAAATGGACAATTTAGTGAATATCAGATACTCGTGAAAGTAAACATGAATACACAGTTCTGGGACATTATTAATAAACATATAGCATGTTTCACTAGCAAAGCATTGCAGGGTCAACTTGTAAAAATGAAGCACAGCAGTAAAGAACTGATGGGGCTTTAACACAAGAAGATTTGTTCACTAAAACAGTTGTGTCTACAGAGGCTTGCTAAGTAATCATTTACTTTACTCACTGCCTACCTCATCATAAAAAAGTATAGGCTCCTTGGATGCCAATGCCACTAAATCAATTTGCTCCTTGCAGTCTTCCCATCGGAGATCGCCGGTTTCCTCAGATATCTTTCCCCCATTCTACCATAAAAAATAAATACCTTGAATAACAGCATAATACTAATATTAATGGGATTTTTCAGACTTTCTTATTAAACCGCTAATATGTAGCTGATAGTTATGCACAAACTACAGTTTCTAGCAAAAACTCGTACAACAAAAAATAATATCATCAGGGCAAAGACTCAAATAAATGAAAAGGGATACATACCAGATCTTTATCAATCTC